TTTGCTTCCTGAGTAAATCAGGATATCATCAATAAATACGTACACATCTCAGGTGTTCTTCATGCTCTTCTTTGCTTCCTGAGTAAATCAGGATATCATCAATAAATACTACCACAAAGCGATCAAAAATGGTTTAAACACCCTATTCATAAGGTTCATAAATGCGGCAGGTGCATTTGTGAGCTCAAATGGTAGTACTAGAAATTCATAATGACCATAGCGGGTTCAAAATATAGTTTTTGGTACATCCTCTGCCTTGATCTTCAGCTGATAGTAACCAGAATGGAGATCAATCTTGGAAAATACTTGAGCTCCTTGTAGTTGATCAAATAGATCGTCAATTCTTGGTAAAGATACTTGTTTCGAATGGTTACCTTATTTAATTCACGAAAGTCAATATACAATCTCATACTACCGTCTTTCTTTTTCACAAATAATGTTGGCGCACCCCAGGGTGACACACTAGGCCGAATGAAGCATTTATCTAAAAGTTCTTGTAATTGCACCTTGAGCTCTCTCAACTTAGTTGGTGTCATACGATAAGGGACTTTAGAAATTTTATTTGTACCAGGTATTAAGTCAATTGAAAATTTAACCTCCCTATCTGGAGGCATTACTAGTTCCGCTGGAAGCTCCTTGTCGAGTAGATTATTTTTTCCTACAACCCTAATTTGATACTAATATACTATCCCCTGGTGTACTAACAAATAATTCTTGTTGTAAGGTGTCACAGGGTAATTTATTTCTCTTAACAAACTGTGCAGCAATGAAAGAGTGCGACGCACCAGAATTGAAAAGTACTCAAGCATGAATGGATGCAAAAGTTATCATACATGTCACCACATTTTCATCTTCTTCAGCCTCCTTCTCAGCCAAGGAATATACTCGAGCCTTGGCTGGAGGTTGCCTATTCCCCTTGCTGGATTGGCCGGTCTTTAAGGTATCCTGATTCCATGGTATTCTTGGGCAATTTGCAATTTTATGATCTTTTTGCCCGCATTTAAGACAAGCTCCAGTACTTCTCCAACGGTTCTTCACTTCATGGTCGAGTATATGACAAATATCACATTTCACAATCTTTTGATTCTGAAGCTACTCCTCTCTATGCCCTACATTCAGTTTCTTATTCCTCCAAATTTTATTTCTCTCACTGCGATTATCTTGCCAACTTCGCTTTCTAAGATAGGAGCTGCTCACCTTATTCTTTGATTTCACATCTGCCTCATTTTTCTCAATTAACTAGATATTATGATTTCAATCATTGTTCAGTAACATATCACAATCAGTAATTACAAGTCAAAAGTATATTATTAACCTTATCCTTTTAGTTCATACACATATTCAAGTATATGGGTTTTACATATATACATGTTTTCCTACCAAAAAGTCCTATATACACTAAAAGAATAGCTAAGGAACCTCATTACTGTTCTTACAAAATTTCCCTACTGTTTAAACTCTACATATAAGAAGAATAGCTATTGGAGCTTGAATCCTCTTCTGTTGGCTCGGTCTCCACCGAGTCCTGCATACAATCGGAGTATGACATAGGATCAGGATCAATGCCAGAAGTTCTCAATCTGTCTAGATCAAAATCCATTCCCATAATCAAACTGCTCGACCCATTCTCGACTGCCTGGGACTCGGTATTAGAGGAATCAGACAAAATTGTGATAATTTATGAAGGTGAGGACTCAATTGGAATAACCTCTACTGCTGGATCCTCGTCCTCAGAATGATCAACCTCTGACTCTGATGAATCTAGTATAATGACTTCTACTGACTTAACCTCTGATGAGTCTGATGTCACATGATCAGCCACTATCAAGTCTGGGTCGGTCTCATCAGAAGTATACTCCCAATCTTTTATGTTGGATACCCAGGAGCTATCTACAAAAATATAGAGCTTGAGTGGGTATATGATGAACTGGAAGATGAATTGGTTCCCACCATCCTATAAAAAGAGAAACCAACCATCTGCGCACTAGAGTAAAAGGACAAAGTAAAATAAAATAAACATCTAAACACTTCTTAACAAACCTAAAAGGCTTCACTATAAAATATTTATATGTATACACGTATATGCACATATTTATATAGATATATCGGTCACATAATCGATCTATACGATAACATTCATCTAGCGCATCTACACTATGCTAACACATCCTACAAGGCTTTTAACATCGCAACTTATGGCTCTGATACCACCTTACTGTCACGCCCCAAAAATACAACGAAATTTGATAAATACGGGTTACGCAACAGCAGCGACACATGCTCAAGACAAGTCATGTGCACAAGCTAAGCCTAAAACCTATATCACATACCTTAACTCAAAACATAAACATAAGCATGATGAAGATAGAAGTTCAAGACAAACGATATATACATACTTATAATCGTTACTTACATTCCAAAACCTTACTGTTATACATATTTACAACGTAAAATATTTTTTTCCCTGTACATAGCATCACTGGAGACAAGTTTCCAGATAAGAACTTCTTCATCATGCCCACACCCAAAATTCGGATTATCTCATTCTACCTTGGATCTAAAAAGAAAATTAAAAAATAATGGAGTAAGCTAAAGCTCAGTGAGAACACTTCCTGCTAGAGTTCCTAAGTATCTAACAAGATAAAAATAATTATTTTTAAAAATAGTAAATTATAAGTTTGGGCTCAGAATATTCCAAAAGTGGCAAAACATGATCCCAAAAGAAATAAATTATTGTTATATTCAAGAAAGAAAATACAAGTTAAATGTATTCCAAAGTCATGGTAACATATTCCAAAATCAAACTCTCTTTGATAACCAATAATTAGTAAGAAATAAAATGAACTATTTAATTTTGTTGTAAAGCCAAAATACCATTATTTTCTCGGATTAACACTGAAATCTCAAGATCATAAATCTCGATGAGAACATTCATGAAAGGCAAAAATCACCTCATAGGTCACACAAAGGCTACGAATTATAGCCCAGTAGCATGGGAATGCCAAAAGGCATCACATAACACATAGTTCCCGGGAACATAATGCACCTAACTCTGCTATAGGCTGCCAGCCACATCATAAATGCCCGAAGGCCACATCACAAACACCCGAAGGCCACATCACAAACGCCAGAAGGTCACATCATAAATACCCGAAAGGCCACATAAAGGTGCATTCAAACCATATGGCAGGCACAAACACATCACTCCATAGTGGATTTTGTGAGGGTTTGAAAACATCAAAAATTGCTTATTAAATAGCTTGATTTTTGAAACATATCATTTATCATATTTTTGATTTTAAAACACATCACTTATCAATTTTCTTGTTTCCAAAACCACAATCACTTGTCAATCATTTTATTTCAAAACAAGTCATTTGTGCCAAAAATATTATTAGTATGTTCACTTACCAAAATCACAAATACTTTAAATCAAGTGGCGAGCGTAAATCTCATCATACCAGTTAAAACAGTCAACGGATTTTACTTTTCTCGATTTTTATCGAATACTAAGTCAAAAAAAATCTTTGAACCCACAAATTAAGTCACAGAAAATCTTTGAATTCACAAACTGTTATGAAACCTTTAAATTATTTTTTTTTCCTTCAAAAGCTTTCAAATAAGCATTATTTACAATAACTTAAGTTTGCATGAAACCAAAACCACCAATCACATTTATATGAAACCTAATTTAATTTTAAATATCTTGTATGAAGTCAAATCATATTATATGTTATGCCATAAATAAATAGATAGGATCACATTTAATTTTATATATATACACAAAAATAATCGATTATTTATTTTTCGAGAATAAAATGAAATTAAATATATTACTTATGCAAATTTCATATAAAAAGAATACTAGTGGGAAATGAACTCACCTCAAAATACCACTTTTCCTGATATCAATCTGAACCTATAATATAAATATATAAGACTAATATTAATTCAGGGAAAATAATAGTTTGTCTATAAATAGGTTTCTTGTAGGTTTCTTCTTCTTCTTCTTTTTTCTAATTTTAGCAATTTACCCAGCTTAATTTTTAACTAAGTTTAAGTTTTCTAGGTCTAATTGACATTTACGGAAAAACAGGGTCCTTATGAAACTTTTTATTCCTCTTTAACTTTTGGATATATATATACAAACAAAAATCTTTTAGGGGTCCCAATTAAATTTTGTTATTTAATACTTTTTTTCCTTCTCTCTCCTTTATCTTTCTGTCGTTCCTCTTCTTCTTCTTTTTTCTCTATTTATTTTGACCTAATTTCACCCTCTTCCCCCTATTTATACTATTCTAAGGCGGTGAGAAACACCAACATGGAGAGGCAATGATGAATAGTGATTTGTGAATTTTTTTGTTTATTTCATTGGGCTGTTACACAAAGTCTCTCCATAAAGATTGTAGCTTGATAAGGATTACCTTATCGGAGCCATTGAATTCTTGTTTGAGTATGTCCCATGCATCCTTTGATTTTGACTCGAACATTATTTGGGGAAAGATTGTTTTGCTTACCCCTTGTTGGAGAAAGAGAAACGTCTTCGCATCATTTTTCTTGTTCTCCTTTACTCCTTTTGCTTTGCTGGTGTCCATGATGCTAGCATTGCCCAGTCATCTGGACCGTCATTGCCTTCTTCGACAAACTCCCAAAGTTCTTGGAAGATGATGAATGTCTTCATTTGGAGGCTCCAGAAGTCATAGTTTTCGCCTTCAAAAATGGGGGACTAAGTTTTGAGAGTCGTTGAAAAGAGAAGGGGCAATTGGCGATGAGGCTGCCATTCAGAATGGTAGTGAAAGACTAAATGCTTTCAAGATTGATTTTAGGTGGAATAGGATGGTTCTGATACCAAATTTGTTAGAGTTGCGGAAGCGAGATACGTAATTGATTTTAGTTTTAGAGGATTAAGAATGGAGGAAGTAGAAGGAAAATGAAGAGTTGGAAGTAAATAGACTAGCTTGAAGAAACTTTGTTTTAATTGCCTCAAAGCTTATTCCAAATGATTACATCCATTGCCTATTTATAGGCTCTCAATGAATTCTCTAGAATGTTTAGATTTTTCATGATACATCAAGTTCATAGAGAATTCTACATAATTCTATTTTCTATATACATCCATACTTAATATATCTAGCTAGTTCCTAGATTATTCTAGACATATCTAGTTTACATGTTTTTTTTACAAATATCCTAGAGTTTTCTATAATTACAAATTATCTTCTAACAGGTTCACCATCAAACCACCTCTCTTTCTCTAACTCTTACATGCAATCCTCCCTTCATCCTCATCGTAAGGCACAGCAGAGGCTCCGGAATCCTATCTTTCTCCACGGGCTCGATCTCAAACCTCTCGATCACCGCCGCCACGATCGACTTCATCTGAATGTACGCCATCTCCTTCCCCAAGCACAGCCTCGGTCCGGCGTGAAACACCGGGAAGCGGAACGGGCTTTCGGGCCTAAAAACTCCGTTCTCCAACCATCTCTCCGGATTATACTCCATACAGTCCTTCCCCCATATGCTCTCCATTCTCCCCATTGCATATGCACTGTACTTCACAAACCACTTTTTCCCCACAAAAGTCCCATCGGGCATGGTATCCCCGTCACGGCACGATTGCGTGTCGATCGCCACCGGAGGGTAAAGGCGTAAGGACTCGGTGATCGCGGCGTGGAGGTAGTTCATCTCCCTCAGCTCGTCGAAGCTGAATGTTCCGTCAGGGCTCTGGTACGTCGAGCGAATCGATTTGATTTCACCGAGGATTTTGTTCTCAACATCCGGCCGTGATGATAGTACCCAGAAGAACCATGTCAACGCTGAGGATGTTGTCTCTCGCCCGGCGAGGATGAAACCTACCACGTTGTCTCGGAGGAGCTCCTCTGTGGTGTCTTTGTACGAGGCGAATCGAGATAACAGGTCTTCTTCTATCTCCTCCTCTTGATTCTCTTCGAGCTTCGCCTTCCTTGTCTTTATGATGTCCATTGCAAAGTCTTGGACTATCTTGATCGATTCTTTCAGCCTCTTCTCCGGACCGATGTTGATGAGTTTCTTCATCTTCCAAGTGAAGCCGAACACGCCCATAAACCTTGCCGCGATGAGGTTCTGTGCATCGCCGATGAGTCTCATGAACTCCAACCCCTCCGCAGCCACCTCTGTTGACAGACACCCTGGGTCCACGCCAAAGGCGACCCTGCAGATGTTATCAAATCCGAACCGCTCAAAAACGCCCTCCAACTCCAACGTCTCCTTCGCCTCCGCATACTTGTACATCAACGGAAGCAATCTGTCGACGATCTCTAGTCGTACCGTGTGCACGACGAAGTTGCGGAAGGATCGCTTGTTGAACTCGAAACTCGCGGTTTTCCGCTGATCTTTCCAATGATCGCCTTCCGAGTTGAAGATGCTGTGGCCAAGTAAGTCGTGGACAAGGGTGATGGTGTGGTCGCCTCTCGGGTAGTTGCCGAAGTTGGTCTTGAGCATGTGTTCAACATTGCGGGGGTCGGAGGTGATGATGCCGTGGGTACTTGCCGGGCTTTTTATGGTGATGGTGTGGGTTGGGCCGGCGATGAGTATTTCAGCTGTCCATTGGAGGAACCGGTGCCGGTTTCGGATGAAGTGAGGGAGTGTTCCTAGGAGGGGATAAGGCTTGAGGCCATTGTTTTGAGAAGGATTTTTTTTGGTGGTGGTGGTGGTGGTAGTAGAAGAAGAAGAAGAAGAGTAAGAGAAGAGGGAAAAGGGAGGGGAAAAAGAGTGAATTGAGAGAGAAGAGGAGGTCCATGAATTTTGAGAGCTGGGGTTTGCTTGTGTTAGGTTTAGATGGAGGTAGAAGAAGTGAAATGCACTTGCATGTATATATATAAACAAAAGAGAGGAGAGGCGACGTTTGAGTTGCTCTATATTTTGAAGCTTGGTGCCCACGAAATTTGCGTGGAGGACGAGGAGCTTGTTATCTTATCCGGAGCTATGTTTGTGTGATTAATATTCAGCGGTATACCAATTGTAATGGATTATTTTTTGCCTTCAATTATTATTGTTATTGTTATTGTTATTTGATTCAGGGCATCAAGTAATGGGTAACAATGTTAATCAAAAACATCCAAGCTAAAAAAAAGACCCCCTAACACGACCAATGACTTGTTTCGAAGCCTCTCCCTATCAGAGGAGATCCATGATATGCTTTAAAGACAAATGCTACTTCAAACCATTCTAAACATCTCTAATTATTATCTCGTATCCGAATTACCTTGTACATGGCCGCATAGAACTCCCCCGCACAATTAGACCCACTCCATCGCCCCTTTTCTAAATATACAGCTCCGTCAAAATTCATTTTCCAGATGCCTGTGCAAGGAGCGCGCCACACCTCTAGTACCGCACTAGCAAGCACACTCATGTCTTTCCTTCAAATTCAAAAAATTCACTCTGAGATCAATACGTGATTAAAATAGATATTAGACAAGTACTTGAAGAAAACATACATATCCAGTGACAACCAAATAAAAGGATTAATTACATTTTGGTATCCTAGACGTGATATAATGACACGAGTGATCCTAGACTCTAGAGTCTGTGTGTAACTAGACGAGTGACCTTGAGATTGCTACTTATAATTACATAGGTGACCCCGAAGCCCAGTTGATAAGCTACTCCCAAGATTTTACCCATGTAATTATAATTAGCAATCTTAAAATCACTCGTGTAATTACAGAATAGCTCAAGATACCGGAATGTAGTTTATCCAAAAAGTAAAAAGGGTGTCATGTCAATAATTTCTAATAAGTGAAATAACTGGCTCCAGTACAAAAAACAGAGCTGCAAAGCATATTGTAAAACGTAGTTTCACTTTGCATCAAAACAAATAACCGCGTAAAAATTACATGGCAGTGCGAATTGCATCAAACTACATAACCTCATTCTAATTACCATTGTTTTTAGTTGAAGTGGTAAAAGGGAAGCAATCAGAAGCGTAATGGGATCTAGGACGACGAAGTTCAAAGACTGAGCTAAAAAAGCTCTGAATGCTGATGTTATCCACTACAAAGAGATATTTTGATTTTCTCTGTTGGCCAAATATTTTAGCCACCGAAAGGTGGCAGCTAAAATTATTGACAAAAAGAAAAGGTGGAGGAACTTTCGGTGGAGCAAAGAAACAGCCAAAGAAATGGGAGGCTGGTTTGTTGACAAAGAAGATGAGCGGACCCCACCTCGGGCCCCACCACAGAAAATAATATTTTTTATTGGTGCATAGTATTTTTCCAAACACTATAAATAGGCTCCCAAACTCTTAAGGAAAACTCATCCCAGAAACAACTCCTCTTATAGAAGAGTAAGAGAGAGAAAAGAAAGGCTTAGAAAAAGATCCTTGTGAGAGAAAATTGTGATCAATTTTCAGAGTGAGATTGGGTTGTGAGTTTGAGTGTGAAAAATCTTTGAAAGTGGTTTGTAAAATTTCTTCCAATAGTGAAAGATCTGCAGCAGCCCGTGGACGTAGGCAATTTTGTGCCGAACCACGTAAATCTTGTGTCCCCCCTTTTTTTGAGCATTTATTTCGCTTTCTCTTAAATCTGGTAATAGGGGAATCCGAGTAATCTCCCAACAACTGGTATCAGAGCTCTGGTTGTGACGTCTGACAATTTTTTACGAGATTACTATTCATGTGAATAGTGAAGTTCGTGAATAGTGAAATTTTGCCGACGGTACCGACTTGTCGGCAGAGGTGTATTAATACACGGTGGTTCGCAAAATTGTCAGAAACGATCCAGATGAAGTCAGATTCGAGTGGGAGCGATGGCTGCAGATGAAGGGAATGTGAAAATTGAAAAGTTCGATGGTGCGGACTTTGGCTTTTGGAAGATGCAGATTGAAGATTATTTGTACCAGAAGAAGATGTATCAACCTCTCTCAGGAAGTAAGCCAGATGATATGAAGGATGAAGAGTGAGCTCTCCTCGACAGAAAAGCCATTGGAGTTATCCGATTGACGCTATCCCACAACGTTGCCTTCAACATAGCAAAGGAAAAGACCACGGCAGGTCTTATGGCGGCTCTCTGCAGCATGTACGAGAAGCCCTCTGCCTCAAACAAAGTTCACTTGATGAGGCGGCTGTTCAATTTGCGGATGACAGAAGGCGCATCGGTAGCTCAACATCTCAATGAACTCAACATAGTCACAACCCAGTTGAGTTCAGTTGGGATTGAGTTTGATGAGGAAGTTCGAGCGTTGATTCTTTTCTCTTCCCTACCAGAAAGCTGAAACGCTACAGTCACGGCTGTAAGTAGCTCATCGCGAAGCAACAAGTTGAAGTTCGATGACGTTTGTGATCTGGTTCTTAGTGAAGAAATTCGGCGGAGAGAATCAGGTGAAGCTTCAACCTCTCTAGCTTTACACGGAGTCTAGGGGAAGAACTTCAGAAAGAAGTTCAAATCATGGCAGATCAAAATCTAGAAGGAGTAAATCTAGATCAGGAAAGAAAGACTTCAAGTGCTACAATTGTGGCAAGAAGGGTCATTTCAAGAGGGAGTGCCGGGCACCAAAGAAAAATATCGGCGCACATGAGTCTGCCAACGTGACCGAGGAAGGAGGTGATGCTATGATTCTAAGCGTCAACAGTCCGATTGAATCATGGATTCTTGATTCAGGGGCATCCTTCCACTCCACCCCATGCCGAGAAATCATGGAGAACTACGTCAGCGGTGATTTCGGAAAGGTTCATCTAGCAGATGATGAAACCTTGAAGATTGTTGGCAAGGGAGACATCCGATTAAAATTGCCAAATCAGACCACATGGAAGTTTCAAGGAGTGAGACATATTCCTGGTCTTAGAAGAAATTTGATCTCTGTAAGACAACTTGATGGAGAGGGTTATTATACAACCTTCTCGGGTCATGAATGGAAGATTACCAAAGGAGCACTCGTCATTGCTCGAGGTAAGAAAAGTGATACTCTCTATATAACCTCTAACTTAGAGAATATCATTGCAGTAACAGATGCAGATGAAAAATCAAACCTATGGCACCAAAGGCTTGGCCATATGAGCGAGAAAGGGATGAAGACACTTCTGTTAAAAGGGAAGCTGTCGGATCTGAAGAATGTAGATGTCGGTCTATGCGAGGATTGCATCTTTGGCAAACAGAAGAAAGTCAGTTTTGCAAAGATTGGCAAGACACCCAAGACAGAAAGGTTAGACTTGATTCATACCGATGTATGGGGACCATCTCCAGTTTCATCTCTTGCAGGCTCACTGTACTATGTCACCTTTATTGATGATTCTACAAGGAAGGTGTGGGTTTACTTTCTGAAGAAGAAATCAGATGTCTTTGATACCTTCAGAAAATGGAAGGTCATGGTGGAAAATAAAACTGGTTTGAAGATAAAGAAGTTGAGGTCAGACAATGAAGGAGAGTACAAAGACAATAGATTCAAAGAGTTTTGCGCAAACAACAGGATCAAGATGGAGAAAACAGTTCCCATGACACCACAGCAAAATGGCGTAGCAGAGCGCATGAACAGAACTTTGAATGAACGTGCCAGAAGCATGAGGATACATGTCGGACTGCCCAAGTTCCTATGGGCTGAAGCTATCAATACCGCAGCCTACCTAATCAACCGTGGACCCTCAGTTCCCTTGGATGGTGGAATACCAGAAGAAGCTTGGAGCAGAAAAGAGGTAAACCTTTCACATTTAAGAATTTTTGGTTGTATCTTATGTACACATAGATTCTGCTGAAAGAAGTAAACTTGATGTCAAATCTAACAAATGTGTTTTTGTTGGTTATGGTGGTGATGAGTTTGGTTATCGATTTTGGGATTATGAAAATCGGAAGATTATCAGAAGCAGAGATGTCATATTCAATGAGAATGTGATGTACAAAGACAGATCAACTGCAGAATCAAGTAGCTCCAGTACAAAAGCTGAAACAAAGGAATTTGCTGAATTTGAGGAGATTTCTAAAAAGGATGTTCAGACTAGCCCTGAAGCAGTTCAAGAAGAACCAAGCACGCCAGAAGTGAGACGCTCCTCCAGAATTCCTAAGCCAACCCAGCGCTATTCGCCTTCTTTGCACTACCTGTTGCTGACTGACAGTGGTGAACCGGAGTGTTATAACGAAGCAATGCAGGTGAAGGATTCAGTCAAGTGGGAGTCTGCTATGCAAGATGAGATGGACTCGCTCATGTCAAATCAAACGTGGGACTTAGCTGAATTACCACAAGGTAAGAAAACTCTTCATAACAAGTGGATTTACAGGATCAAAGAAGAGCATGATGGGAACAAGCGCTACAAGGCAAGATTGGTTGTCAAAGGCTTTCAGCAAAAGGAAGGTATTGACTATAATAAAAATTTCTCCCTGGTCGTAAAACTGACAACAATCAGACTGGTGTTGAAAATTGTAGTTGCTGAGAATTTACATCTTGAGCAATTAGATGTAAAAACAGCTTTCCTTCATGATGATTTGGAGGAGGAGATTTATATGAAGCAACCAGAAGGCTTCATAAAGGCAGGTAAGGAAAATCTAGTATGTCGTTTGAAGAATAGCTTGTATGGATTAAAACAAGCTCCCATGCAGTGGTACAAGAAGTTTGACAGCTTTATGGGCAGCAACGGTTTTACTAAATGCCAAGCAGATCATTGTTGCTATATCAAGAGGTTTGACAATAGCTTCATTATTTTATTGTTATACGTTGATGACATGCTCGTTGCAGGATCAGATCTGCAAGAGATTATAAATTTGAAGCAGAAATTATCAAAGCAGTTCGCAATGAAAGATCTTGGCGCTGCAAAGCAGATTCTTGGAATGAGGATCAAGTTCGCAATGAAAGATCTTGGCGCTGCAAAGCAGATTCTTGGAATGAGGATCAAGAGAGACACGAAGTCTGAGACTTTGATGTTATCACAGACTGAGTACATCAACAAAGTACTCTCCAGGTTTAATATGAAAGATGCTAAACCAGTGGGTACACCTTTAGGTGTTCGTTTCAGACTTTCCAAAGATCAGTCACCGAAGACAGAGGAAGAGAGCGTGCACACATGACGAAGGTCCCATACGCCTCAGCTATTGGAAGTCTGATGTATGTCATGGTTTGTACAAGACCAGATATTGCTCAAGCAGTGGGAGCTGTTAGCAGGTACATGAATGTTCCGGACAAGGTACACTGGGAAGCAGTCAAATAGATCCTCAGATATCTACGGGGCACCACAGGTAAAGCACTTTGTTTCAAAGGTGGTGATACAATACTAACAGGTTATGTGGATGCTGATTTAGCAGGAAATGTTGACCACAGAAAGAGCACTACAGGGTATGTCTATACTCTAGGAAATACTGCAATGAGCTGGGTTTCACAACTACAGAAGATAGTTGCTCTCTCCACAACTAAAGCAGAATATGTCGCTATTACAGAAGCCAGCAAGGAAATAGTTTGGCTTTAAAGTTTCTTGGATGAGTTAGGCAAGAAACAAGAAGGCAATGTTTTATATTACGACAGTCAAAGTGCTATTCATCTAACGAAGAATCCGTCTTTTCATTCCAGAACAAAGCACATACAGATGCGGTATCATTTTATCCGGTCACTTCTGAAAGATGGAATTTTAAAGCTTGAAAAGATCAGTGGAGCTCAAAATCCGACAGACATGCTGACAAAGACGGTGACTACTGACAAACTAAAGCTGTGTTCAGCTTCAGTTGGCCTGCAATAATATCAAGACCAGGGAAGAGCTGCTGCATAGATTGAGATGTGAAGATAGATTAAAATCAGTCTTCAAGTGGGAGATTGTTGGTCAAATATTTCAGCCACCGAAATGTGACAGCTAAAATTGACAAAAAGAAAAGGTGGAGGAACTTTCGGTGGAGCAAAGAAACAGGCAAAGAAATGGGAGGCTGTTTTGTTGACAAAGAAGATGAGCGGGCCCCACCGCTAGCCCCACCACAGAAAATAATATTTTTTATTGGTGCATAATATTTTTCCAAACACTATAAATAGGCTCCCAAACTCTTAAGAAAAACTCATCCCAAAAACAACTCCTCTTATAGAAGAGTAAGAGAGAGAAAAGAAAAGCTTAGAAAAAGATCCTTGTGAGAGAAAATTGTGAGCAATTTTCAGAGTGAGATTGGGTTGTGAGTTTGAGTGTGAAAAATCTTTGAGAGTAGTTTGTAAAATTTCTTCCAATAGTGAAAGATCTGCAGCAGCCCGTGGACGTAGGCAATTTTGTGCTGAACCACGTAAATCTTGTGTCCCCCTTTTTTTGCGCATTTATTTCGCTTTCTCTTAAATCTGGTAATAGGGGAATCCGAGTAATCTCCCAACATTCTCCTTTAGAGCAAAACAGCTAATCCTTCAAGACTCTGTACACTTTAATACGTCAACACATTCCAAAACAAAATTTCTTTTATACAGCGTTTGAACATAGCCAACATTGTAGCTCGTCTCACCTATGCAAAGATTTACGAAGAGTTTAGACAAGTACTAGCATCATCTAGTCCCATAATCTGTATATGACCTGAATTGAAACAAGCACTAGAAGGTTGATGGATTACCATGGGATGAAGTACCTGTATTTTACATACTGAAAGATCCACAGGGGTCAAAATTTCTGCACAAGCAAATAGGCGCAGAATGTTGATCTTTCAAGTGAGACAATCAATACCATCTTGATGAAGGAGCTGAAGACAGCAGGCAATAATACATTCTTTCCATGCGCGAAATAATAGCAAGCTTGTCCTCTTTACTCAGTTCTGGCCTACCAAGGTTGGCTATATCTTGTCTCAAGCTGCCAAGAATCACCATTAAACAAGTTGCATAGTTTAAAATTGCCGAATTTTCTAAAATTGAAGAGAGGAACTTTTGAAAGCTCCTACTGACCTTAGCCACTCTCCAGTTTCCTTCGCGTGCCTTTCCACTGCCTTGTAAAGGCGATCAAGGCTATATAGCACCAATCCAAACATGCACTGAGCGTCTTCCTCCTGTAATAAGAGATCTTGTTAGCAAAGCAAATAAAACACTTGATGATACAAGAAACATTTTTAGTGACCCAGAAAAACTGTTGCTTTAGCAAAATCCCAAGGGATGTTCATCTAGACATGCACTTACTACTCACTGGATCAGCTTGAAAGTTGTTATCAGGTGTGTGCTGGGTGGGTTTCTAGTGGTGTTTTATCGGTGGATGTTTTTATTAGAAATCAGCCAAAAGGGCTCTTCATAGAAGTCATACCACAATTTTGCAGATTGATGCTCGAGAATCCACATACTAATATAAGCACTCAAGTGATGCTTTAACAAATATTTAAATGCGGGAACAGAAAAATCACCTGAACCCCATGTTACTTAGGTCAAGAGGTTTCAATTTGCAGTTAGAGAAATTAAGAACACATGAGCACGTGTGACATAGGTCTTCCCGTAGATTAGAGTTGCCACTGGATAGCTTCAGTTCTGGTACAACTACTACTAGACCTGAACCTGGATATGGACACCATATAGGTAATAGATTTAAACTTGGATGAGAGATCTTAGCGTTCTGCTCAGGTCTGATAAGTCCATACTCTATCAAGTCATCTTGACTATGGTTAGTCTCTTGAATAGGCTAAGAGGATTGGATCCATGACCATTAGGTCCTGGCTGACTCTGGGTTTTGTACCAAGTGCTTGAGTTCCCAACTTCCCACTACATATATAAGAGTAGCATCTGGGCTTTGCAGTTCTCCATTACAACCATCTAATTTTGTTTATATGAGCAACTAAATAAGTTGCAGTGTCCGAATGATCCTAGGCAGCAGAAAAGGTATATATGCACTACAATGTTTCTTCCAAAGGGCTAACTTTTCGCAAAGTTACACCATGAATCTTTTTCTTCCCACTGAGCCTAAAACCTTAAGGCTCTAAAGGTTTTCCACAATATTTCTAAATGGAGGTTATAATTTTACCTACCCTTTTCAACTAATACACTATCATCAACATTTAGAATGCACCATGAGAATTCGTCCCAAATATGCCTAATAACTTCATAACTAACTTCATTCATAACTTTACCTTTCCTTGATCCGTACTAGCATGGAATTGCATTACCCGTTTCTCAACTTCAACAATGAGAAGCCTCCTCTGAATGCGAGCAGCCCTTCCCCTACCTTCTGCACCTTTGTCCTAATTATATCAATATCAAGTTAATATATTGAATTTACAAAATGAAGAAGCTTAAGGAATAAAACAAAAACATGATTGTGCACTTTAGTTGATTGATGATGAATCTACAAAAATACTTGAAATGCTAGATTACCAACTGATGTTATTGCAGGACTCTTGTTAAGAAGAATAAATCAAACTCTTATTAAGAATGAACATGAAAGATTACCTCAAGAAGAGAAAACGAACTCTAGGAACTAGATGAAAATGGTAACAGTGTAGGTGCAAACCCTTCTTGACTTCAAATGTTATGGTTCTGATAGAAGCTGACTGCAGTTTAGAACTAATTTGTCAATTTGTGAAAAACTCGTGTATTGGGAGGGAGTTGAGTAATTGGCAGGCTACAGAAGACTGATTTTATATATCCCTTCCTGATGAAATTTGGAGATGGATGTAAAGTATGGTGGCAATCAGTAATCACTCCTGCTGGAAGATCACAATATTCCTCAATTGGTGCGGGACAGTTATACTACCAATAAAGTCCACAAGATCTTTTCTTCTCTACTGGATGCTCTATTAGGGCATTCTATATTCACTTATCAGATTTCCAGTGAGAAACAAAATAGAGTTTAAAATTATATTTTTTCTAACTAAGAATTAATATTACTATATAAAATCATTGACAAACCTTTTTTTTTAAATTCAACAATCATTCATCTACATGATTGAAATTATGGCCCACATTGTTGTTGAAATTAGTGCAAAACCATTTACTTCTCATGAGAGTTATTATCCAGATGGAAAGCTGCTGCAAGATAGAATTAACACAGGCCACTCACCTTCAGAGCCCATGCCTGTACCAACATGAGCAGAAGTATGGAAAGGAAAAAGGCTGGTAAGGCAGCAAGAATGGCGAAGTTGATTTCATTTGCCTTGAGAATTTGATCCAGTTCAAGCATTGCCCTAGTCAACAATTAAAAAAAACATACTCCATTAAGGTTAAAAATTAGACCAAAACTTCTCCAGTACTCCAAAAGGAAAGATCAAGCTCACATTTCAATGTCCAGCTTTAGCTTTTGAATCTGCAAATGGGTAGAAGTTATGGTCAAATAAAATTTAGAAGATTCAAGTAACCATATAGATATCAGCAGAAAATTTACCTGAATAAGCAATGCCCGAGCAAGCTCTCCATGGAGAAGGTTCTGAATTGGATGCATCAGTTCCCTCTCATATCTGCAGTAAAAGGAATAAGAACCGGATCATTGTTCCAATCAATCTGAGAGATTGGCTTTATTGACTGAAGAAGAACAGGTAAACATATTTCACTAGTTCCTAGGGGAACAAAGTGTCCACTACTGCAATCAAATACAATCTCCTTCAAATCAATCTGAGGCATTGGCTTTATTTATTGACTGTAAAACAAGCAAACTCAACTCACTAGTTCCTAGGAGAACAAAGCATCCATGATTGCAACCACATTTACATAATATCCATGAGAACCGAAAAATATCTAAATAAGCATCCACGATTGCAACCACATTTAAACAAACTTCATGAAAAACCAAAAAATATCTACATATTACATATTAGCTTTGTGAAAGTACATAAATTCCATTTGGCATAAAAAGAAACTGATGAAATGAAATCACAATTATAAACTCAAATATACATAAAATGCAATAGCACTAGCCATTAGACTTCTGTTATCAACCATGTGTGTGCGCGCATAAGGTGACTGATGTGTGGTACATGTGCATGCATCTCTGTGTGTGTGTGCACGTGCATGTGTGAGAGAGATGATTCAAGCAGAAACTAATCTAAGAAAGACATATAATAGTAGTGTTTTTATCCAAAAGTTTTGTGATTGTCTACATTGAACCATTGTGTTCACCTTTGTTACCAAAATAAAGGGAAAATGTCTTATACCTGTCCATGACAATTTCCATCATATCTTGATCTGAAAGACTCTCAGGAAGCTTTTGACCTTTTGTTTGCTCACCGAATGCCAACAACATTCTGCAACTCCAAGACAAGAAATAATGGGATGAGAAAGCATACATCTATCTTTAGCATCAGAGAAGCCCATAAACATTGAGCAACAGTATATTATAGAATTGTGAGACATTTATTCAACTATCATGGCCCCTAAGGCCATGGAATCACGCTGGGCTTCACTCGCTTGTGAACTACTGAACTACATCACAGTGGAACTTAAGCAGCAGAATGAACCCCATATAATAAATGGTAAGGACTAGTGTAACAAGAAAAAACAAAGGTTTCCAGGAGATTGTGCACTGTAGTTTTGGTCCCTGTATTTCATTAGCCAGAGGCTTTTTTTTTTAATTGAGGATGTTCTTAAATGTAACATGTGTAGACTCTACAGCAGAAGCTTCTGTTATGAAGTCGTGTCAGACACATAAAACAATGATGCCTCTTAGCATGTAGCTGTAATTTTCTTCTGCTATGGTCAATATTTGATGTGTGTTACCCTTTTGTTGTTTGTAGTCAATATGTTACTTAATTCACTCCAAACCCATCGAACTATAAACACATGAGTGGTACGTTCCCTATCCGAATCCTCAAGACAGATGACTCAAGGAATGAAAGGAAAGTACAAGCGACTAATTCGCTCAAAGAGTTTCTCCTAATTAGGCACTAGGTTTTGGTACTCCTTTCAAAATGCATGTATCCATGCTACTTAATGTAGATGAAAGATCAAATATGCACATCATAGTTACTGGAATACAAGATATAGTTGCATAGAATCACTTGAAGCCTAAGTTGCATGGAAATTGGTACTGGTATGGGTACTTGTACAGGACGTGGCAAAGTTATAAAAGGTAGGGTACGGGGACATGGCTACAAAAAGATATATATACACGTACATATTGCTATAAAAGGTAGGGTAGGGGGACATGTAGGGGTGTCCATTTGGGCCCATGGCCCGATATATATATATATATATACACTCTCTCTCTCTCTTAGCATGGTATAGATACTAAGATATAAGAATATAAACATATATAATGTAGTTATAAGTATACTTATATGCGTATATTATAGAATTACAGTTATATAAGTGCATAAGTATAATTATATATACTTCGCATCTAGTATATATAAAAGTATATCGTATAAGTAAACTGTATAATTGTCTCAAGTTATAACTTATAAGTGTATATAATATATTTACATATAATATATGTACTCTCTCTCTCTCTCTCTCTCTCTCTCTCTCTCTCAGCATAGTATAGATGTTAAGATATAAGTATATAACAATATAAATATATATGATGTAGTTATAAGTATACATAAGTACACTTATATGTGTATATTATAGAATTACAGTTATATAAGTATATATAAGTGCATAAGTATAATTATATATAAGTATATTGCATCTAGTATATATAAAAGTATATCATATAAGTAAACTTTATAACTGTGCTTAAATAAGCATAATGTAAGTATGTAACAAATACATATATAACTATATAATACGTATTTATAAATATGCTTAAATAAGCATAATGTAAGTATGTAACAAATACATATATAACTATATAATACGTATTTATAAATACGTAATATATGTTTATGTGATTCTCTCTCTCTCTCTCATGTTATAACTTATAAGTATATACAATATATTTACATATAATATATGTATATATAATATATAGTTGTATATATACATATATACTCTTAACATGGTATAGATACTAAGATATAAGAATATAAATATATAATGTAGTTATAAGTATACTTATATGTGTATATTATAAAATTACAGTTATATAAGTATATATAAGTACATAAGTATAATTATATATTAGTATATTGCATCTAGTATATATAAAAGTATATCGTATAAGTAAATTGTATAATTGTATTTAAATAAGCATAATGTAATTTTTATTCATTAGGGATGTATTCATTTATTGTGATGCGATGAATTCCATAATAAATTTATAATTGTAGATGATTAACTGATTATTAATAAAGAAGTTATTTTTATCATTTTAATTTTTATGATTTTTTGTATTTGTAAATTATATAATTACAAGTGATTAATAATATGACTAATTTATCAAAATTTTGTTTAATTTTTTACTATGTATTATTGAAAAATTTTAAAATTTTAAAAATTTTAAAAAAATAGTTTATCAAAAGGTTTTGCCCGGCCCGGAACCCGGGTCAGGAAGTTTGGACAGCCCTAGGGACATGGCTATAAAAAGATTTATATATTAAAATTAATGATTTACATGAGGTCAATATTGTTTTTCATTGACATGTTATGAGAACTAAAATTCATATAATATTTTTATGTTTCTTTTGTTATATGGATTATAAATTAGAAAACCATCATTTTTTAAGTAGACAGACACAAGACCCTTTAAAATAATAGTTCGAACATGATCTATGTCCAATGAATTTTAGGAGGTGGTTGTGAAGTGTAGTACAATTATAAGACCAACAATGTTTTATGGGTTAGAATGTTGTGCAATTAAGAAACGTCATATGCAGAAAATGAGCATTGTAGAAATGAGAATGTTAGGATGGTCTTGTGGATATACACTAATAGATGGGATAAGAACCGAGTACATTCATACTAAATTAGAGGTTGCTCCAATTGAGGATAAAAATGAGAGGAAATAGACTAAAGTAGTTTGGTCATGTACAATGGAGACCTCTTCATGCACCACTTAGGAAATGTAATAATATTGTAGTTAAAGGAACAAAGAGATCTAGATGTAGATCTAAAAGAACTTAATTTGGAGCAATTAAGAAGGATATGATAATGGTTAATTTAATAAAGTAGATGGACTCATAATAAAACAGAATGGAAGAATAAGATTCACATAGCCGACCCCAAACATTTGGGATGAAGGCTTTGTTGTTGTTGTATATGTGAAGTGTAGGATATGCGTCCAAGAAGTGTACGAGAAGTGTTTTAACTTAAAATATATTGCATAAGCGAGTACATGCCCAAATAAATGTATTTACATGCAAGGAGTGTCCCAAGAGTATGAGTACGGATACGGGTACGTGTCGGGTACGAGTACGGCTTCAGTTGATAGTACCCGAGTAATATAGCGTGAAGCTCAGAGTTAGCGAAGCATTTATAAAGTTAGTTTGCTTTTAGAGAAATTTAGCATGGACCTAAGAAGGCCAGACTTGTCTGTAACAAACATTACTGTCCCAACGATCCATAGACTGACTGAAAAATGCAAGTTGTAAAAACTGCACTGCTTCACCTATGGAGAGAATTTGAAGTCAAGTGAACCTCTTCAGCCTCCATGACACCTTTTTGTCTTCCTCTGAATGTCTCAAATAGATCGTCTCTGATAGAAATAAGCTGATAACAGATTTAAACAAGACATATGTGTTAGTAAGTTTTGTGCCCTGAAGAAACTTTAAAAAGCAGCCCAGCAAGAAATCAATACAAACTGTTGCTATGTAGAATGTAGTGCAGCAAAATATGCAATAAGCAAACAATTAAAAGTAAAATCAAAGAGGGCTGAAAGTTACGTAACAATAAACATATATAATCAAAAGATCGACAGAAAATCTTGCAGAAAGAGTACTTGATGAAGAACTATAACCTATACATCTAGATAAAACAAGTTTGGTAGTGCCTAAAAATGGTTGGAAAAAAAACACTAGTATAGACACAGGTTATATAAAAGTTCTTTTAATTTGCATAAAGTCAAGTAATAAGAGCATGTTTCCTTTCTAGAGGCATCAAATTAATGTAGATAATTATTCACTTTTCCACATAGTTCACCAATTGTTACGATGAAACTGACATATTGAACTAAGTTAAGCCCAATATAACAGCCAAACATTAAGAAAAGAGGCCAACTAAGATAACCGCTGCTTATCAATCTTCAAAGGAAATTTCCTATAACCAACACTATGAAATGAATCAAGATATATAACGCATTGATCCATACCTGACACTGATAACTAGTTCTTTCACCTGTCAAATGCAATCTACCATGACAGTACTCGTCCTGTTGGTGTAGTTTAAATAAAGAAGAAGAACAAAAACTTCATTTCCTCTTTATTATTTGTTTTTCTCCTGCCATTTTGACATGCTATTGTTTCCTATTTTATTCTCAGTTAATCAAATCCATAGTATGTAGAAAGGGAGAGGGGAAGAGACTGCTGATGCAGCAAGCAAATGGTAACAAAATGAGTGCAATAGTAAAAAGCTAGATGTAGCTTTTAACTAAGAAAAGGATGGAAAATTCATTTGATATGTTTATTATTAATAAAGCAAGTTCAAGTCAAGGGAGCTATTACCCAAAAAGCAGATAAGGCAGTAAAAAAGGAATATAGTTGCTAACTGGAGATAGATGATGACTCTTGATCGAGATGAGTGAATAAAGAGAACTAATACATATGCCCCAAACTTTATGGAGAAAAGGTTTTTATCT